TCTCTCTCTCTCTCTCTCTCTCTCTCTCTCTCTCTCTCTCTCTCTCTCTCCTACAATTTTTCGCTCTCTATTTCTGTGTGAGTGTGTCGTGCTTTAATAAACATTTTAGCCTAATGCCTGACCATTATTTATCGTGAACACAGCAACAACAACAACAACAGCAACATTTTCATCGCCCTGGCGCCAAAAGACAAACAGTTAACATTTGTAAAGCGTTTTCCATTTCCACCTCGATAAAACAAAAAACCCAAAAAATCAAAAACAAAAAACTCTCGTGCTGCACAAGATAAATTACAGTCGTGCTGCCTCTATTTCTGTCTCTGTTGCGCTTCAATTAAGCCCAGAGGCTGTCGTGTGTCTCTGTCTCTACCTCACTCGCTCTTTCTTTCTCTCTCTCTCTCTCTATCTCTCGGTTGCGCTTAAATTAAGCCCGCACACATACTCAATCATACACACACACACACACACAGTTTTGGCTGCTGCCTGTAGCGCTCTCTCTCTCCCTTTCTCTCTCTGTTCCGCTCAAATTAAGCTCTTTACACACACACACACACACATAGTTTGCTTTGCCTTTGGAGTTTTTAATCAATTTTTGTTGAATTTTTCATGCGGTAGCTGTAAAAATGCCTCGCAGATAAAGCATCCAAAAATGCCAGAAAGTAAAAGTGAAATACTACCCATAGTCGCATAATATATAACTCACTCAAACTGAATGCCAGACATAGAAATTGCAGTTGTTGTTGCTGTTGCTGTTGTTACATCTCTTTGCCGTGTTGAGCAATAATTGAATTAGAGTGGACCAAAATAAATCTATTGTATATGTATGCACATATTTACTTCACTTCTAGTAGGGGTCAGAGAAAATATCAAAGTAAACTCTGTGCACGAAATTACCTGCTTTATCTCTTTTGCCATTCAGCTAACAATCATCCAATTCGGCAATGATATTGATGAATTTTTAATAAGCTCGCATTCGAGTTATGAACTTTTAGTTTGAATGATGACATTGCTGATGAAAGCCTTAATGATAGCATATTTAACTACATGTAATACTACGAATGATATGTGTGGGTCATACACACACACACACAAACACGCACACATACACTGGAACTAACGAGCCAAGTATTTAGGATAGTAATTACACGGGACAAAAACTTTAGCTGGCAACCATAAGAACTTCATTAGATCATGAAATATTCAATATGGCGCAAAGGCAAAAACAACCACCCCAACGTCTATCTCTCTGTGGGTGAGTGTGTGTGTGTGTGTGTGCCTGTGTGTGTCGGTGCTTGTGTGTGTGGCCACAATTAGAGCACAAATGCTGCGCAAACGCAAGATGCAAAGGCAAAGGGAAAGCGCAAGACTAAAGTGGAACTGGAAGGAGAATGGGAAGTAGAAAGAAGAAGCGTAAAAGGGAATGAAGCAAATGCTGCAGCAATGCGAAATTGCATTTACAGTTGCAACAACTGCCAATGGAAGTGGAACTGGGAAAGGGCAATGAGAATGGGAATGGGAATGGAATGGCTGGGAATGGAACTGTTGCTGCTGCAGCAAAGCGCAGTTGCAATTACAGTTGAATAATTGATGGCCACAGGAGTTGTTGCCGCTCTTAAATCCCATTTAAGCGCAGCATTTAAAATGTAATTTAACGGCAAAGCGACTCGAAATTAATTTTCAATAAAACAAAAGCGAAACAGTCAGGGCCAGGCTATAAGTGAGCGTTGTGAATTGTGGGCAATCAGCATATTTGATTCGATTACTTTGAAATGGCTCTGCATACCTGCTGCCCCACCTGTCCGTTATATGTAGGTCTAGCTAACCATATGTACTTTAGCCATAATGAATATTCACATTAGTCGATGTCAATGTATAGATAAAGCTCATCAAAACTCACTCACTATTTCTCCCTTTCTCTCTCTTTGCTTGCAGGCGTCAGACGGCGGAGGAGCGCGAGGCGGAGCGACAGGCAGCCAATCGGCTGATGTTATCACTGCAGGCGGAGGCCATTAGCAAGGGCTTTGCGCCACCCGCTGCGCCGCTCAGCACACAGTCCGGCGTAAATGGAGCTCCGCTGGCGGCGCTGCACGGCTTGCAGCCCTGGGCGGAGGCGTCCCATGCAGCGGGCTGCTAATTGTCAAATGGTAGATCGTATATATGCACATACACGTAGCACTATCTACACATGTGTCTGTGTGTGTGCATATGTGTATAAGGTTTATTTGTGATAAAGTTTGCTTTGTAAATAGAGTTGAAAAACGGAATGGGCACAGCGAAGCCCCGAACCAGACGAATCAATCAATTTGTAAATATGTAGCTTTACTTTCCCTATAAAATACAGTAGTTACACCATATAATCATATGCTTAAGAACTCGATGTAAGTTTAAGTAGTTTCCTTTAGTTTGTAGCGCAGTGTTTGCATGATTTAATTTTCAACTTCAGTTGTTCAACACCTCTCAAAGTCTCACAAAATGTCAACTCTATAGAGCATACACATATACATATGTAATAGTTTATAAAGTATAAAAGAATTTTAAATATACGGCTTGTATTGTATGTTAGTTCGTAAGTCGAATGGCATTACCTAGTATTATAATTATAAATAACTATTGCAAGATATAAATAACTGAAATAAATACATTACGAAATCAAAGAAAACACACTGTTTTAATACTTATCTTTTGGATTCTTTTTGGATTCTCTCATTGATATTTCGAAACAAGAACATTAAGATCCCTCGGTTTTTTTCCGTTTCTAGCATTCGAATACATTCAATGCTCTGTGACATGACAGTGACTAGAAGATGCAATCCTTTCCCCAATATAAGTGAGTCCTCTTCAGTTGCATGAAAATTATCCAACGGAACTACTGGACCTGTGTGTTGATCCCATCAATAGAGTCCTCGTTACTTAATCCTGTTGCCAAGCATTTGTAGTCTTGAGTGCCTTAATGAGCGAAATTTAATTTAATTCACATTAATTTTGATGTATGACGCTTTGAGACAGGATATAATATTCTAATGCCATATGCTATATAGCCCGACAAAAAGATGCGAGCAACAAAGAGGTAGAAAAAACCAACAACAATTAGTTGACTGGAGTGGAGTTCTCTATAATGATAATCCTGGCGGCCTTTCATTATAAATATATTACGTGTTTTTGCTGCGCTTCAAAGGCAAAACAAACACAGAGAATGCCGCCAGGTCGACAGTCAGCAGGTAGTTCTCACTCCCTCCCTCTCTCTCACACTCTCTCGCTCCCTCTCTCACTCAGAAAGGGATCTTAAAGTGTTGGTTGCTGTCACATTAGCCTCGACTGCGACTCCTACGAGTTTGGCAAGGTGGTCGGCCGCTGGTTGCGGAAGTAAACCATTTGCCAACAAGTTGAAAGGGAAGGCGCCACACAATGTTGCAGACGGAACGGCAGACGAGCCGCTCTGTCGGGCGATCAAATGGTATTTTTATTGAAACTTCCAGAGAGACACCTTTTCAATTTGGCTGCCTTTTGCCGCTTTGCTACTCGGAAATATATCGCATAAATTGCGTTTAATTGGACAATTTTGTGGGTTTTTATTTCTTTGTTAGCTTGTAATGAGGCTCGCCGGAGAGATCCTTCGGGCTGTGCGCCATTGCATGCGCCAGCCGAGCCAGCCTCGACAGCTCCGCCAGCCACGCCAGCCTGTTTTCTCGTCAGAGGGGGTTCTTGACTCTAATTGGCGCAGTTTGTGGAAACTGGAAGTCAGCCCAGGTTTTTGATTGATTATTGAGCCAAGCTGCGGACAGCAGTCAACGGCCAACGGCCAACGGCCAACGGCCAGAAGCTGCAGCCACAATCTATTTGTGTCCACTTAGTGAAATGACAGGCGCCAGAGACAGAGAGAATGAGAGCGGGGAGGAGAGAGACGTGGGAGATGTGGGTGATTGCCGAAAATCAGCAAAAAGAAAACCAAATTGAAAGTGACCAACAGAGGGTGGCATCCAACTGCTCGTCGAGTCGGCATACGAAAGCAGACAAGAGTATTCACTTTGGTTGAGTGCGCACGACTAACAGATACCCAGAGCACTACGGTTTGAGATGTGTGATCGAAATTAATCTTTCGGGGAATGGCCCTCAGAAATGTCAGTATATCAAGGATCTGCTACAAACGGACGAATGGACTTGTTTGCTGCTTTAATCTGGAGTAAAATATACTAGTAAATGTCAGGCACAGAAACAATATACCCTGCGTGTCCTGCACTCAATGTGTGCAGGGTATACAAATACAAATGAACAGCCATGCGGTTGGTCAACAAGACAGCAAAGAGCAGAGGCGTGGGGCTGGACTGGGCTGAGTGGAACCGAGCGATGAGTGGCTGAGTGGGAGGACAGCACAGAGCAGGATTTTGCGAGTCGCAACCTCTTGGCCAGCCAGCTGGCATGTCAATTTGGATTATGGCAATGGATTGAACGGGATTTAAGGCCAAGTCGAAGCTCTTTTCAAATTAGTTTTTCAGCCTTTTCCCACATAGCTGCAATTTCATATTAAAATTCTGAACAATCGAGCAGAGGCTAGCCTTCGGGGGAATTGCGCTGACAATGCTCGGCCAGAACTTTGACAGGCATTCACAGAAGTTACAATCGCAGTCACTGTTGCAGTCACAGTAGACGGCGCACAGTGACAGCGAATAATTAGCGGACATCATGGAGACATTTAAATTAAATATGAGTTTGCTATTGTTGTGTGCCGCTGTTGCTGTTGCTTTTGCTTTTGTTGCTTGGCTAACGTTGAGCACGTCTAGCCTCTAATTATGGCCGTCGCTGGTTGGTTGCCTGCTTGGCTGGCTGGCCTGTCAACCTGCCACATGGCAGTCATAAAACCAAAAAATGTCATAAAGGAAGCCATTTTTAACAGCGTACCTAAAAGCAAACACAGCGCAAGGAATTCATCTGCAACTGATCGACTATAAGTTACCCTTTGCTTGAAGGAGAGAATCAACTTACTTAGCAATATTTATATCATCATTAATAGACTTCAGCTATATGCATCAGGTATTTGCATCTCATGATATTCTGTATATATCATGATATTTTACATTACTTTACTTTTATTGTATCATTTTGGATCATTATGATTGATGTATAGAGGTACTTTCAGGTGTCCCAGTTAATATGATTTATTTTCAATTCATCTGAACTATCTCTATGAGTAGAACTACCCTATAACAAAGATATATCTAGAGCTAACTATCTTTGGCAAACAGCGAGCTGTCATTAGTTCTCTCTGTCGTCGTGTGTCTGGGTGGGTGTGTGTGCAGGTCTATTACTGTAAATGAGTTAAAAAATGGAGTAAGTGGAGTGAGAAGCACGCTCTACATCCCCCTTTAAGCAAGGGCAGCCATTAAACCCAGTTTTTGTGTTTTATTTTATTGTTGTTGTTGCTATTTACCGGATCTACCACTAGAATTTGGGATCCGGTGCTACGGCGACAACTAACAACAACGACTAACAGCACTTCTAATGACCACACAGCGCCGTTCTCCAAATTAATCATTTGGCCCCTCATTAGTTTCATTGCGTATTTTTTATTTTTATAGCCTGAACTCATTGACAGCGGGCGAAACAGGGTATTTTAGTTTTGTGGATGTGTATGTAGCAGGCGGTATTAGGCGTGGCAGACACATCAACTTTTTGAGCAGTATGAGGAGTTGACTTGATTTCTTTATATATTTACATTCATTTAGTATCTAAACTACTTATTGATAAAAGTCGAATATTATTACCGATAGAGACTTACCTCAAATTTAGGTTATCGAAATGAACATGCAGACAAGCAATATTTCCTTTTAGATAAATTTCCTCTGATTCCTCAAAAAATACTAGTCTTTCAGCTTGCTAGACACAAATTCATATATTATGTACATATGTTTCTCTAGGACTTTAGGGTATCTTCTAGTCGGGTACTCCTGTGCAAAACACTTTAGTTTGCATGTATATTTAGTATTTTTTTGTTACTTCTCTCTGTTTGTTGTGGACAAAGCATATGCTAATAGCTCATGAATGACACGTTGCTTTGTCGTTGATTTGTCGCTGCTTTGTCGCTGGCTATGGCCAATAAATTGGCTAGCTAAATGATACCGACAAACTCTCCCCGAAATCGCGATAGATCCATGGAGAATATCAGTCATTATAAATACCCTTGTACAGAGCCAGCTGGGTCAAAACACATGACATGGGAGACATCGCCTCAAAATGTAATTAAATCAATTTTAAATTTATGACAATTTTAAATGTAGTTATTTATTTTGCTTAGCGCATTAGTTTTACTACTTATCGGCGCTCAGGCTGCTCAGTCTGCAAGCCGTGCTGAGACAATGCCAATAAAAATTCTAATAGTATGATAATATGGTTAGTATTTTATATGAGCATAGTATCATTATCAGTATCTATATGCCAGTATTTATGCAACTCATAAGATATTGATTACTATAATTAATATATACTTACTATACCTCAAACCCATGAATTCCTTCGAGTGCCCGCCATTTGATTGGTATGCCACTATTACCTCTATGCCTCTAAGGTCAGTTAGAATTTTACAAATATAGTTGGCAGGCAGTCTTATCTGCTAACACTCGACTTAATTGTTGTTCTCAAGTATGTCAATTAATAAAAGTCAAAGTCGATAAAAATACAAAATTGTCAAAGGGGCGGCAAGTGCCTAACCTGTCTAATCAGCATGCGGACTGATAAGAGAGCTTGACAACTATTTCGGAACATATCTATGCAAATGCATATGTGGCTATATCTATTCTGATTGATTGACCCTTCCAAGGCAATAAGAGTAAAAACGTTTTGCTGCACTTAGGAGATACATCAGGCGTTCGGAGTGTAGAAAACTTCGTGTTTCACACTTTCACATGAAAATTTAATCAAGTTGTTTTCAATTGAGTGCAAAATCACATCAGCCAGGCATAAAACAGAGAGTGAAAAGTGAGGAGTCTAAGGTGGGAGGTACAGGCAGCACTCCCAAACAGCGAACCAGTAGACCGACAGACAGACAGACATACAGACAAAGGGAATTGAGTGGTCAGCCAAGCTAAGAGGGGTTGGTTTGGCATTCGTGTAACCCCGACTACGAAGTGTCAACAGCAACTGGATCTGGATGAGGATTGTGAACTGCGGACTGTCGAATGCGGCACGTTCTACGATTTCACGTATTTATTGCCAAAACACACAAATTTATAACCAGCCAATAAAAGCAACTTTGACGAGGAACAGCTACGAAAATAACATTTCAATTTTATGGCCTGGTCTAAAAAAGGAAAATGGCCAGAAGAGCGACTCATCAAATATTGAAAAGGCCGGAAAATTTATGCCGAATTCCATTAGAGTTATGGCGTGAAAATTGTTTAAAGCAAATCAATGCCACAATTAAGAGGAGGAGAACGAGAACGAGAAAGAGAACGAGAATGAGGAGGAGGAGAGGGAGAGAAGGCGGGCTGCAAAAGGTGGACTAGAGCTAAGTAATCAAGCTACTTCGGGTCAATTTTTTGTTTGGCACAAATCTCTAAAGTCTATTTAAGCAGCAAAACTGTTCAAATATTCAAGTCAAATTGTTTGAGATTCCCACTTGCCGTAGCTCGATTTTAATTTCATTTGTATATTTGACAGCCTTTGAAT